ACGTTTAATACGGAACGCTCCATTTTGGCGAACTTTGCCTGCTCACAACTTCTTTGGCAGGTTGATTTTGCAGTTTTAGTTTTCATATTTCTAATCAGCGTTTGAAGCTCTCTCGATATGTCTGGGTCTTAACTCAAAGCTCCATGGGAAGTTGAATGCCTTCTCTGGTTAGTATCAGAAGTCAGATATGAGGCTTATCTATGGAAAGGCACTGGCATGAATACTGTTCTGACTGTTCGCATAAGCCATTGTATATAGGTGGATACTCAGTCCTTTGTCTGATTTCGTGTTGCAGTCAAATGCGTGGCGTATTTAATCCTGCTTGATCAACTCTGAGTTGCTGATAGTGCTCAAATTTGAATCATAATTTGTCTACCTATCAAGCGCGACCACTGGACGTATGAAAATAAATGAATAAGTGAATTCCTGCCACTGTAGACCTTTCAAAGCTTACGAAAGTGATCTCCGATTGTGTCATCCGACCAATGGTCTTTCAAGAGGAAATGTTGAGTGCTATTTGCTTTGTCGGGGCGTCTCAATTAGGGGATTATTATGATGCTCAGGTAGCACACCAGGAAGCTTTGGCAGTTCTATACTGTAGAAGTTGAGGGGTTGAGTAACGGCTGTACCGAGGTACATGATGTACTCTGCGAAATGTTCGTGTATGATGCTAGTCTACTCGAAACTAAGCAAATATTCCAACGTTTCAAGTGCCGATAAAGTATTCTGGTAGAGATGCGCATCGAATAGGCGTAAAGGTAGAGCTTTGCTCTCGCGATCTCTTTGATCCAGTTTCATAGCTTGGAAGAGTATTTCATAGTGTACGGTGAAAAGAGTGCTGCGGGGCGTGAACGAGGGTACGGGGAGTTCGCAAGGTTCGCAGGAGTGATGCGATCGTCGAGAGAGTGCAATAGGGCGGGGAGGACACAGGGTAGTCGAAAATGTTGACGGAGGATAGAGGCGCAAGCGGCTTCCCAGTCGGCATGGATGCTGGCGAAGAAACGGCCGAGGCTCGCGCCAAGGTGCGCCATCTCATGGCTCAGGCGCCAAACACTCGTCCACCCGAATTCGTCAATCCGTTGGAGAAGATCGAACAGCTGCTCACCTGCCCCATATGTCTTGATCGTTACAAGTGAGCAATTTTTCTTTTTTTTCGATTTTCGATTTCGATTTCCGACTTTGTGCATTTTTCCAACTTATCCCTGCTACTATTACTTATGCATAACATTACATTGAAGTTTATTATTAGTAGCTATTATATGTTCGCTTCGCGTTTCGACGGTCTCTTTGCTTTACACCAGGCGGCGCGTATTCCATTACATCGACACCAGCCATTCTCTAACGCAGTTGCTTTTTAAATCGTGGACCAGCAGAATTTCGATTGCTCTTCCTATTTTTTTAGCATTAGCAAAAATTACACCTCCCAGAATATTTCTGATTTTGGAGTTTGGGTGGTACCTTCAAGCTGAAACGCTATGAAAAGTAGCTCGCACCACAGTACAACTAGATCGAGCTCGTCCTCATTGATTAGCAATGCTCAGTTATGGCCCCACGCAGTATCTCCACAGCCTCGATAAGACAAACGAACATTTATGATTCCTTGATTTCAGGCAACCAAAGCTTCTCCCTTGTCAGCACACCTTCTGCTATCCGTGCCTGGAGTCGTGTGCCGATTCCCTGCACCGAACACTCAAGTGCCCGGAATGTCGGGCTGAGCACTCGATTCCGTACGAAGGAGTGAAAGCCTTTCAGGTAAGTGCGCGTTTGATATCCGCCTCTGCCAGCTGGAGTTGACTGTTAGCTGAAGTTATCATTGCAGTCAAACTACACTCTGACTGGTTTTCTCGAGATTCACCTGCAAGCCACACCGGACTCGGCTGCTGAAATCGAGGAGTATATTCGTAGGTGAGTTGGTGGTCGATGTCTACGTGAGGGCAGCCAGGCTGAACACCCTGAAGTATGACTCAGTCCGGCTGTTCTGACGATCTCGCCATGTCGCCCCTCTTCGATTCGACGTCATACGCTCAGTGAACAACTGTTCGATTGGCGCTATCGCTTCACGAAATGCAATCGAGTAAGCTCGACGATGACAGCTGATCGATCGTAATTCAAGATCTTCTGAACATTGAAATCTCCATTTCAATGCCGATTATGCGCTAGCGTTCTTTGTGCCGACATGACGTCTCTAGCACTTGCGAGGGCGTTCAGCGGTGTTGACAAAGCACCCGAGCGATTGAGGAGAGATTTGCCATCAAATCCCATCATCTAGAGCACACTGAGCACCACCACATGTTTCTGGGGATTTTCTCGGCTTAGTCTTAACGACGACTCCTTCTGGCCAACCTCCATTATACAAGAAGTACTGAGGAGGGGGGGGGGGATTTTACATTCAACTCTGTGAAGAATCAACGGAAATCCGATCGATAATTTTTCTGTAGTAACGAGAAGATTTTCCTCTAGGTGCGGTCAGTGAGCCTCAAAATCAGTTCGAAAATGTGTGAGGTCTGGAACAATGGTCAATGGGTAAAAGGATAAGATTAGAAATTTGACATTTTCCTTTCCTGGGATGCGCCGTGTACTCCACTTCCATTCGTTTTGAAGGTCACGTGCTACATCTTGTTCTAACTCTTATTCTCAGAAGTGTATATTGCGAGACTCGGCCCAGACCCCAATCGGAATAGGTTGCATCCTAGGCATAAAATGCGTTTTTCAAGCGTTGTTCAGTCCATGACGGGTTCGGCGTTATCGTGATATGATGCTAATAAGAAAAGCGTTGAGCAGAGCAATAAAATAAATATCTCCTTTTCTACGGCCAGCATTTCGGCATACCATTGTTTCTCTAACAGATCCAGGATAAGGAGAGTTCGGAAGTACCTTCAGTATTCCTTACAGTAATTACTCTTTTCCATGGAAAAACGATGGGAATCAGACTGTAGAGCCACGGCGTAAGACGTGCAATGAAGGATTAAGGCCACGTTTAGGCTCTCCACGACTCGGCAAGATTAGGCAGAATTAAGTGAATAAAAAATTAGGATAGATAGCATATAACCGGATTAGAACATGCAACTGAAATATTAGAGAGTATTGATTGGGAGATTAGGCGATTAGGTGTCTACACGCATATCAGTCGATACTCGTCTGATCTTTTCAGCAGACTCACTTAATCTCCTGGTATCTTACGTACCGATCTCCTACTAACCCTCCGCCTCTCCTGTTAACATCATCATCTCGTACCCTACTACTCTCCAGCAATCCAATCGATACTTATTGAAGCAATATCCTGATCTTCTAATCTCTACCAATGCATATCTTCTTCGTTGTCGCCTACTCGCTTAATCTCCGATGTCGAGTGGACGCGAAATAGCCCCATTGGAACCCGGGTCTAGCAGACGCTTGGATATCTTACGTCTGCGTTTGAGGGCCAGGATGTTGGTCAAAAGTTTTAGACGATGTTATCCGATGGACAAGTAACTGATCGGATCTTCAAAGGCTGGCGCCTGGCATATCTCATCAAGAAGCAATAGAATTTGATTGTTGACCTATAGTCGATCGCTCTCCTCAATCATTGTTTTCCATACGTTGAACTCATTTCGAGAGGCTAGCGCTCATCAACATCCTTGTTGACTGCTCAGCTTCCTGTTTAGTTTGGTGAAGTAAATAAATATCTGTTCAGGTACAACCTCGAACGATGCAAAGTTTGCGACGAGAAGGCCGATTGCGAGCTTTGCGCGCATTGCGAACGAAAAGCCTGCAAAGAATGTCGTCAGACTCACATGGACATGTTGAAGAGGGATTTGGGAAGGCTGCTCAATCAGGTAACCCAGGCCAACCCTAGTGCTGACGTGACCAAGGTCTAGAAGAATTGTTTCAGGTGCGTCGGCTGTCAAATCGAATCATCGAGGCATCTGACGGGCTTTCAAAGGGTTTGGAACTGCTCTCGCTCAACTGCGAGACGACCAAGGACGAGGTTAAAGAGTACTTCCACAGGTCTCCGATTTCGTAACAAATATCGAATTTCGCCGTTCGTCTGTCGAACAGCGATATTTGTCGTCATTCCAGACATCAACGCGATCTGAAGAAACGCGAAGATGCGTTCCTTAGCGAGATCGACACATTTCACGCAACCGAGAGTCGTTTGATGAGCAATCTTCGTGATGTGCTCGAGATCGAATCGTCCAACATGAGTGAGGCGGTCGCTCGGCTTGACGCTGTCATCAAGGTTCGCGGGTCTAGGCTTTGGGCATAGCATTTCAGTGAAGTCTAATTCGACGGCTTCAGGGCGAATGCACACTGGAAGATGCTGAGTTGGTTCGATTGAAAACAACATTTGCTGAAGGACTGGAGTACCTTCGAAATTTCCAGGTTTGAGCTCACTTTTTGTGACCTTACTTTTTATGCCCTTAGCTGGCAGAAATTTTTATACTCTAACCTTTATAAATTTTGGCCCCAGAAAAATCAGTGAAAATTTCATTCCCGACATTATTCGCTGCTAACTACTATTCAATCGAAATTTTCTGTTTGGGGTTCCCCTTCTTCTCTCCTATCCCCGACAAAAACCAGCAATTCAGCCCGATGCAGATGAGCTGTTCAATCGGAAACTGCGCTTTTCCGCTGGAGAGGATGCTGCCAGGCTGCCACAGGCGATCACCACCTGTGGAGAGCTGTGCGTGCTCGTGCCACAGTTTGCTGGCAGGTGGGTCTTATGTAATTTCAAGTGAAGTAGGTACTGTAGGCGCACAGTAGAAAAAGAAGATCTGCTTCTCACTTGAAATTTTGTTGGATGAACTTTCAAGTGATTGCAGTCGCATCTTCCAAGGGTAGTCTCCCTACCATCTGTTAATGTTCTTTTAGTGCGTTCTAAAATTAGTTTTACATTGGTGTTTCCAGAACCCTTTTGCTTTTTACCACCAGATTTTTTATTCATGAAAAACTATAAGGATTGGTGAATAATGAAGTGTGAGGAGTTTTTACTCTACTTTGTGAGAGAAGAGGGGCTAATTTTTTTGAATGCAGAAAAAAGTGGCTTCAAGTCACTTGGAAATGGAGTTTCGCGTAAACTGCTTGTACTGAATACGCTGAGTGAAAGCCTCTGAGGGTTGGCAAATTTGTTTAAGGTTGTTTTTCTTCCCAACCGCCCCAAAACCAGGCATAGGAGTTTCAACAAACTCATCCTAACGTCCTGTCTACTTTTGTCTCTGTGGTGGCTATTCGGGCGAAGGATTTCACAAACTATCAAAGTCCTCCTTGGTGTCTTGTCTCAGTGACGCATGGAGATGGGTAGCACAACAGCGGTTATAGCGATCGAATCCAAGATGATGAGCAGCTCAGTCTACCACAGCAATCTGGTTCTGCTTCCCTTTACTAGCACTAACACATTGCTATTGCTAAGAGCACAACAGTGTTAGCGATTTGACCGGCTGAATGGACGAATGTCGAAAAAATATCCAAAAGTTTCCCATACATCTCATAGACACATGTTAGTACCAAAAGTTTTGTTTCCATCAAAAATTGGAAAAGGCCTATCGCAAAAAATAAGGAGGATCTGTGGTGCCAGTGTAATCAAAATTGCGTAAAACATTTCCTTTTTGTTACCATTGAGGCATACGTGAGGGAGAAGAGACTCCATGGTGCGTGAGCAGTTTTCGTTTTACCGAGAGTTCCTCCCCTCCTAGACCCAATGCTAGGGATGCCCCGTATCTTGCGATGCGCCGAAAATTGTGCGGCTGACGTTTCGATGTGTTCGCCTAGCTCTAACTCTCTCTATTTCAGAATTCATGAAAAAAAAACCCAAAAGCGAATTACTGATATTACGAGTCAATAAATAACAATCCATGCGTACTTCTCCTTGGAATCACCCCTTCACGAATTTCTCGTATTTTCCGAGTGTTATTGTGAAAGTCCCATAAAAACAAAGTTATAAGCGCGCTGTCAGATGTTTTGTCAGCTGAAAACACTGGCTGATGTTATTGAGGGAAGCGAAAGCTGACTGACCTCTTCTCAGCTGACTATTGAGTCTCTGTTATTGTTCGCTATAAAGAACTTCTCTGAACACCTGGGGCATGGATCCATTGATCGAATGCGAAGAGTTTATTTTACTAGGCTGGACGGCAATCATACGTCGCTTTTTTTAACGTGCACATTTGCTTCATTATGGAACTTGAAGCAGACAAAAAAGGTTATTCATGCTGCACGAGTGCACTGCATAGTTTATGTGGACTTATGAACTTCAGTCGTCTTTTTTGCACATCTTCGAAGCAATACCCCTCCCCCACCACCCCACCAGAAGTCGTGTCGAAGGATCTATTCAGTGGGTGGGATAGAATAACACAAGAGCGCCACACTTGTTCTGTTGTTGAGGCTTGTAAAAGAATGATAACGTAATAACAATGGCAGATCTTTTCGGCGAAATATTCTTAAAGGAATCTTCGCCGCCGTAAAAATTCATTGCACTCTTTCACTAAAACATAATACTGTCAGGTTGTGATCACTGGAAATAGCACACAAAGTTTCACGCATGAAGATTCGGTTTCTGAAGAGAAACAAAACGTACAAAAACTACACGTTATGGACCATCGAAGGACCAGGAGGCAGAGCCAGGCGAGGCATGGAAAGAAGACGGCGTTTGGCCGGCTACGTACCAGGCGACGCAATGAGAGAATCGGGTTAAAGCGCGCGATTTCGGAGAGTGGAGACAAATCGATCGATGGAATAGGATGGAGTAGAAGTGTAAGATGTGAATGCAACGAAGCAGAAGGCCAGAAAGAGCTTCTAGTGAATGCACTCCAAGAACCAAGTTTGAGCATCCCCGTCGCCAGCATTCGTGAAAGACGTCCGTGGGCAATTCGAACGCGTAGCAGCCTTTTCGAGTTTTCGAATTTCTAATCAAAACGAAAGCAATACTTCAGTTCTTTTCACTATTATCGTGGATAATGAGTCTCAAGCCAGTGATTTATGGCTGAAATAGAATCATGATTTTTCCGCGCAAGATTCCTTTAACGCATGGACAAGTTACGTCTCGCGCACCCCATAACGCGCAACGTGAATTACATAGTAGCGACCATTTCAAGTACGCGCGGGTTAGTTAAGCCGTGGAGCAGGCATGTTCGTACAACTCGTCTGGCCTTCGCTCTTCGTCCTTTTCAAAGAGGCAATCCTTCTTAAAAGGCTTCTATCGACGGTTTTTTGGGCTTCGGTTTTCATTTTAGTACAATCTCGTATCCACAACGTCATTTCGACCGCTAGTGACTTAACCAATTATGATCGGGGGTGTAAGCTCCAAACAGAAGCAAGTTGACAGTTAACATTTAGGACAATATGTGGCAGATTGGAGCTCTCGAATGACACAAGAATCATCAAAAATGGCTAGCATAAAATCAGAAAAAGTCCTGGGCAAAAAGGCGAAAACGCTCAATCTAATTTTTCTCTTGAATATCGATCGGGATATAATTTGCGTTAATGTCCATGCACTAATGAAAACTGTATAACGGATGAATAATCAGTATTGCTCTGTTCGTGAAGTTTGAGGAAACCGGAGCCGCTCACTGCGGATTGGGACGTGAAATGTTGCGCTGATGGCTCATATTTCCATTCACAATCCTTGAAATATTGGAATGGCCAGCAGGGAGTAGCTGATGTTCAATTGGATGCTGTAGCTCACTCCACCAGACAAAAATGAGAATTTCAAGTTGGGGCTTATAGCGAAAGATGTCAATGACCTTGCGAGAGCTAAAGCTGTAAAAATTCAAGGCGACACCCCGAGCCCCTGCGCCACCTTGGTTGTAGCATTTCTACCGCTGCTGTTTGTTTCTGGGCAGTCTGAAAGTATTTTTAAGCGCAGGGTGAACACTCAGAGATCGTACAAGTGATAGAGTAAACTTCGCAAACTTTTGGGGAAAATGAAGCATTGGCAGTAACTGCACTCATATCTGCATGGGAGTGGTGCCGTGCACCAATACTTTTAGCTGCTCCCTCAACGTTCATTTCATAAAAAGCGAAGGACAAGGTAGATGGTCAATTTTACTTGGACGCGTCGGGCAGTCGGCATCTATTCGAACCGTGCAGGTCTGAATGGTCTTCTCGCTTACACAGTAATTTCGTGGGGGGTGGGGGAAGGCAGACTGATGCTCATGACAGTTTTCTTTGCAGACTCTGAATGATTGTGGATGTTGAAATTTATCATGGGTGTAGAATAGTAAAAAAAATCATAGAAGTGATAATACTTATTGATAGCAAATGATCACGTCCCTAAATTCTTACTTGTGACATGGGTCTCAATTCTGAAGGTTTTTGCATTTTTTATATCACTTTGGGAGGATGTTCTCCTACCGTTTCTTTTGCAAAGATTGCAACGTTTTCGAAACCAACAGGGGAAATGAAAATTTTGATGGGCTCCCCTGGAACTTCATTTCTACGGGTCAAATGTTTTTGTCATCATTGCGTCGCTACATGTGTGAATATCTACTAAATTTTGCTGCTTGCTACCTCCTTCTACCCGTTTTTCGTTGGCTATCGATATCCACCCCATCCTCATAATCATTTGTTAGATCGAGTAACGGGATGGAACGAGTGTGACGCACGCACATCCTCACCCACCCACTTGTCATCACACTAATCGTATAATTTTTTTCACCCTCTGTCATCTAACTGATGTCAATGCATATATCCGTTCTACTACTTGGGTGAATGTTGTCATTGCTACTATGAAGTAGCGAAGTTTGCAACGTAGACAAGCAGAACAGGTGGCACCTCACCCATTTACATGTGCTGATGGTTGGTTGTGAGATAGAAATCTTCTTTTCTATTTTGTGATATTTGCGACGTCAGATCGTCTACTATTAAAATCTGATTATCACAGGCAAGAATTTAAAAACCTACTCCTCGGGGACCCCATCCCCTCCCGAACATTCAGCATACGGCCCCAGCAGAAACGCCAAAAGGGCTGGTTTGCTTACCTCGCGTTTGCCTAGTATAAATGTGTTTAAAGGAGGAATTCACGATTAGAATGAAGGTCGAAGAAAGGGAAACTGACCTAGTTGAGGGACCCACGGACCTCCTGAGGGTGCGAACTGACGCGCAATTCGCATGGAAAAATTTGACCTCGGCGACCTATCATGCCTCAAAGCTGGCGGGTCCGGCGATCTCCGCCCACCGATCATCTGATCACTCGCCGTAGTTCAATACGTGGCGAGTGATTAGATAGCTGAGAGAGCGTAGTGTTGAAGAGGGCACAGCGATGAGAGTCGCATCAATGCTCAAATCAACGGGCAAGGAAGGGGTCCATTTCTCGGGTTCTGGGCCGTTTCTCATGGTTCTTTCCTTCTTTCGT